CGATAAACTTTGAAAAGATATGATAAAAATTTTTCAAAATATTGGCTTTCAAATTGAAATAAGCATAAATTTAAAAATTGTTAACTTTACTGATGTCACGTTTAACCCTTGTAAAAATTCATATAAACCTTCAAATAAACCAAACAATGAATTGTTGTATATTAATGTTAATTCAAATCATCCACCCCTAACTCCTAACAAATCCCAATTTCAATATCAGACTAAACCAATACTCCTCTAATGAACATGTATTCAACTCCTCTAAACGAGTTTTTGAAGATGCCCATAAAAATAGTGGTTTCCAACATTTTAAACTAAAATTTTACCCTGAAAAAAAGAAAACAAAAAGCGCAATAGAACTAGAACTGTAGTTTGGTATAATGTTTATATAGCAAAAATGTTTGCACTACCATATGAAAAGTGTTTTTTAAAATTAAACGATAAGCATCTCCCACTCTCTAATAAACTTCATAAAACTTCTAATTGAAATGCGGTTAAAGTTAGCTACAGTTTCACAAAAAATATGGAAAGAATAATAAAAGGTCGCATAAGGACTATGTTAAACAAAAAAGAAATCCAAACCTAAAAAAACGACAGAAAATTATAATTGTAAACAAAAAAAAATTGTCCAATGAGTGGAAATTATCAAAAAACGTGGTATATAAATGTTTTATTTCCTCTAAAAACGTACTAGATAAACAATATATTGGGTTTATAGAGGGTAAGTAGAAAAAATGTTTTGCCAATCATAAGCAGTCCCTTAAGAATAAAAAGTTTTCAAGAGACACGATGCTGTCAAAATACATATGGGAATTAAAAAATAAATATACTGATAATATTATACTGAACATTTACGACTTCCTTAAAATTAATTTATGGTATAAATTGAAGTTTTAATTATTTGATTATTCATTTCTGATGAGTTTTTAATGATGAAACACAGTATTAAATAAAAAGTTTGTGTAAAGTGATTTTCAACTAATATGTATATATATATATATATATATATATATATATATATATATATATATATATATATATATATATATATATATATATATATATATATATATATATATATATATATATATATATATATATATATATATATATATATATATATATATATATATATACTATATATATATATATATATATATATATATATATATATATATATATATATAATATATATATATATATATATATATATATATATATATATAGATATATATATATATATATATATATATATATATATATATATATATATATATATATATATATATATATTATATATATATATATATATATATATATATATATATATATATATATATATATATATATATATATATATATATATATATGTATATATATATATGTGTGTGTGTGTGTGTGTGTGTGTGTATACAGAGCTTATTCTAGAAAGAAAACTTGGGCAGCGGTTCTTCTTCCCCCCCCCCCCTCCCTAAACCACTCTCCGTTCCAGCAAAATTTATTGAAAAATCACTATTTTTTCTGGAAAAAAACAATATTTACTATAAAAATCATAAAAAAAAAAAAACTCTCTAAGCTATTAAAAATAAATCAAAATTGGATATGACTTGAAACTTTCCAGAAATGCTATTACATAACTTAGTATGTAAAAGTTACTGTATTCAAGTCTTAAACTTTTTTCCAAATTTAACTCCACGTAGTGTGTTGCATGTAACGTTAACTTTTTACCGTTTCTGAACAAAACAACTCAGTCAAACTTAATGCAGCAAACGGCATGGTTAAAAAAAAAACAGGTGTGTGTATTTAGCTCATATTGATATAATATGTTGAGTTTCATAGTTTTTACTTTATGTTTTACAAGCATTTTTATGTTGTTTTTGTCATTACTAAAGATGCAAAAAAACGTGTTTTTTGCTATCGTGGTAATATTGGGATTTTTTTTTGATTTTATGGCGGTTATCTGGTTGTTTTTTTGGTATTTACAGATCCTTTTAGTGTTTTTGTTTACTTACTTTTAACTTTTTTTCAATGTTTCCAACTTATCTAAAATATTTCTATTTAGTTTTATTTAAGTATTTTAGATTCTATATTAAATTATATTAAAATTAATCTATTATTATTAAAGTGTAAACAAAAGCGTTAAGTAAATGATTTTTTTATTGGTAAAAAAGTTAACAAATTTATTGTTCTTTTCAAAGTTTGAATTCAAAAATTGAAAAGAATCAGTTTTATTTCAAGTTTTTTTATTTAATACTTATCTACAGTAATATCTTAATCTGTTTCTTTTGGCACTGAATATTTGCATAGCTGCTAAAACTTCTTTCACAAGCAACACTTGCAGCAAGAAGGTGAAAATTTTTTGCTGCTAATTTTGATAATTTAGTAGATTAACATACTTTCTTTCGCCAGTTTTGTGTTCTAATCAAACAACTTAATGATGTGATTATTTTGATTAGAAATCTGCTTAAATAATGCTTACTTTTATTTATTTATTTGAAAACAACAGAAGGACCCAAAGACCACTAACACTGCAATATGCATTAAGAAATTTTTTACTGAAATGTTAAATTGTACCAAGTGAAAAATTTGACAATTTTGAACAAAATTGTATCAAGTTGAACAAAGCAGTACAGCAAGACGGTTCTTAAACATAATGACGCAGACACCACATTCTCCGAAAACTTTTCCATACATTAACAATTCGATTAGAAAAGAAACACTTCCCAGCAAACATGTCAGCGTTGAATCAACGTTGAAAACCGGTTGCAAAAGATGTTGCGGAAACGTTGACAAAGTAATCGATTTTGCAAAGATATGTGACGTTGTTAAAGAGACGTTGATTGAACGTTGTAGCGTAACGTTGAAAAAACATTACTAAAAGACGTTACAAAAATGTCTCAACTTAACGTTGAAAAAGCGTTACTTAAAAAGCGTTGCATAGGCGCCACAACTTAACGTTGAAAAAACGTTACTTGAAAAGCGTTACTTTAACGTTGTTAAAGCAGTTGATTTTGCAAGGATTAGTAACGTCGGTAGTAAACCGTCGATTCAACGTGACTCAAAGACGTCGAGTAAAGGTTGAAATATAACGTTAAATCAACGCTCAAATGCGCTGGAAAAAATATCGCAAAATATTATTAAACGTGATTAAACTTGGTTATAATGTATATTGAA